AAGGGGCTGCCCAGGGAAGTGGTGGAGTCCCCATCCCTGGGGGTATTTAAAAGACAGGTAGATGAGGTGCTTAGGGACATGGTTTAGTGGTGGAATGATAGTATTAGGTTAACGGTTGGACTTGATGATCTTAAAGGTCTTTTCCAACCTAAACAATTATATGATTCTTTGATACAAATATTTCACAATTGGTGCAGGTAAGTATTTTTTTTTCTCTGTAGGATACAATAAAAAAGGTTTGTGTTAAACAAGTAAAACCACAGAAAAAACAAGTTGTTTTCATTAATATTATCTTCTCTATTTTAGCAATAACTTACATGATTAAGTTAAAACATTTAAATTTGACGTATTTCTATTTATATGGAATATTTGATGGTAAGCTGCATTATCAAGGAATTAGTTTAATTTCACCTTTCACTCCAATCTGTTGTTACCCTTAGATAGGTGATATACAGGAATAACTTTTAGTTATTACACTTTTTCTTCACTAAATGCTTCCTTTTGTTTTGGAAACTTTTTGTGTTATTAAGGATTATATATAAATTTCCAAGCCATATAACTTAGTGAGACCACAATCTTCATTTTTTTTCACTATCACTGCACTTAATATTTTAGCCTTTCTTTGCATTTGCACTTTAAATAAAAAAATACAGTTATCTGAAACTGTGATGTTGCTGGTAAAGTAAGACTTCTTGGAAACTGAGTATTGTAATGTTAGTTGCAGCAACATTTCTGCATATGGCTCTTCTCAGCCAGAATAACAGGCAATGCAGGTAGTATTAACAGTAAATGTGTCAAAACTTAATGCTATTCATATTTTCAAATTAAAAACCATGAAAAGTGCTTTTCATGAGCATGTCCTAGTTTCTTTTCCATTCTGTCTGCAAAGCAGGCACAAAACCACATCTGTTATAATTTTCTGAGGTTATATTTAATCTTGAAATAGTGTTTCCTATTATTAACTTGCTTGGCCTCTTGATCCCTTCTAACCTTTTTAAGCTATGAATACCTGTAGTGAATCATCACAGTTATTCTTTGGGTATCCTAGGGACAGAAATTTGTCTAACTAGTTCAGTATTCTCCAGTTTTATCCAAAGAGTTAAAAAGGACAGGAAACATAGCTCCTTCTCATGGAGATGTCATGGTATGCAGATTAAACATCATCTTCCCTGGAGTGCTGTTCATTTTTTTGTTTCCTTTTCTCTGTACTTAGTGGATTTTCCATGGATATGTCTATTGAGATCCCATCTAGTATTGAATGCATACATAGCCGGACACATCAACTTAAAATAAAGGTAAATTAATTTCACTGTAACTATGTGTCTGCCTTGGCAGTTCTGCTGTGTATTTAAAATAGAACTTTTATCCTAGCAAACGCTTGTGCCAGATCTGTCTGGCTTTGTGCACTGTTCATTCTGCAAACACCTCGGTCCTCTGTTTCTCTCAGATGAAAATTTCTGTTGTGCTTGAAGCCTTTCTGCTTTCGTTGTCTTCTTATTTAAAAATACATTCAGGAACGTGAATGGTATTTTAAAAGAATGTAATACATAAATAGAAACTGTACCTTGTAAACTTTCTATAACCTTTTTGGCAAATGCTTTGGGACTACCCCTATTAAACCTGCTATCGTTATTCCCTGTTCTCACAAAGTAAATAATATTCAGTGTATTGTTGTTAAGTTACTATTTGAATGCCTATTTTTCTCCTCTCCTAGAAAACAGACTGCAAGGCTGTAATTAAGACTGGGAGAACAGCTCCTTGGATGTTAGTGGCTTTGTTCTAGATATCTGGATTTCTCGGGTCTACCTACCTTGAATGTGGGTAGAAAAGCTTCCCAACAAAATGAGTGAGGTACTGTATAACTTGTACTGTTCATGAGGTAATACTGAATATGCTAAAACATAATAAACAGGAACAGTTTAGTTTTGATGGGTAAAAGGTGAAGAAAAATATCACACCATGGACAGTGGTCAATTTGATCTGTTTCAGTAAGCTGAGTGTTCTGCAGAAATGGGTTTTCTTTTCAGTTGCATAGAATCTTGTTGCTTTTGTTTTATCCTTTGCCTTGTAGGAGAGTAAATGTTTCAACACAGTGGCCAGTCATTTCTGTTAAAACACCTTTTTCTAACTGTTGTACTGCTGTTTGTATTTCATAGAAATGTGACTAGATTGTTTGATAGAGGTGTTTCATTTGCAGCAGCAGAAGTGGACAAATAAGTCATGGCTGAGGCTGGACCTAAGTGGTTTCAGAATCAGGCAATAACTATACTAATTAAAAATAAGTACAATTGTAAACCATTAAATTTGTAGACCTCTATTTGCAACTTGCACACAAATATTTCTAGAATCTGTCAGTGTTTTATTTTAAGGCATCTGGCCTTCCAGAAGATTGTGGCACTCTGTTGTCATTATTGCTGCTGCAGTATTATTCTCAAAGGCATTTAAATCTTCTCTTTTTCACTAATTGAAAAAGACATAGCTAGCACGTCTAGCACTCTGGATCACCCAGAAACAGAATCCAGCTGTGGCTATGTCACAGAGGAGCTCATTATCACCACTGGAAGACATTAATAAAAGGTTAGGTAGGAAATGAAGGATCAGTTCAACCCCTTTTACCTTCACCCGCAGTAACTCCTTGCCGGAGAAATACATTTAAAACGTAAATTATGTGATTCCAGGTTATTAGAAGCTGTTTTATTCTCCCAGATTTTTTTATGATGTCCCTGGCACTTTTAATTATTTTCAGCTCCTTTTTATTTTTTTCTTTCATAAATAAGATAAAATGCATATTTTAGGTGAAATGTAAAGTCTCGGTGTTACCAGTCGTCAATCCAATGTTGAAATTGATTAAAATAAGTAAAATGACAGATAAGATTGTTTTCCTTCCAACAATGAGGTCTTTTATTTTTCTTGCTTTTAATCAGAGTTGCTTAGTTTAAAAGTATTAGTTTAGGGATTTCTTCCTGATGACTGCAATAATACTGATATTCTTGCAAGGAAAAGAGAAAGAGATTCCTATTTCCAAACTGCACTCTCCTTCCCTGTTGGAAATACTTTCACTCCTTCAAGCCTTTCATTGCTCCACTTTTGAAAGCCTTTGTTTTTTATAGCATCTTTGTTCATAGCAAGGGCAGTATGCACTTCTGGTTTACATATTTTTTTAATTCTAGTACTTCTTACAAACTGATGGTGGCAGTGATGATTGTAAAAGATCATATCTGTGATTTTTTTAAATTTTTTTTTTAACTTGTAGAAGAGAATCCAATGCTGTTCACAAAAGAGTGAATCAAACAGAAACGTGAAACCACAAAATTCCTTTTTCAGTTTTTCATGTGAGACCTGGGATATAGGTAAAGGACAGGGAAGTTGCACTTTTCAGGCATTAAGAGTAAGTGACATAATTTTGTTAAAGCTTTGAAATACGGCTATATTCTGCTCTCATTCCATAATAAGAAAAATGAAGATGCTTGGGTACACTTCTAATGCCATAGTGTTTGTCCACTGTGATGATGATTTTGTTTCTCCCTCTACAGGCTTGCATGCTTGTGTTCCAACCACAGCATTTGAAATAGCATTTGAAGAAGAGCAGCTGTCCAGTGAAATTATTATTTTATTAGATTGCTTGAATTCAATGGGAGGTTCAGTTCTACACCAAGCAAAACAGATTGCTTTATGTGTTTTGGAACTATTTTGTTTCAGACAAAGAGTGAATGTAGTCAAAGTTAGCACAAGTGAGTTTCTCTATTTCCTTTTTACCTGAGTGCCACCTTTTACCTTCTTGTCATGGCTTAATTTTATGTACATCATTATTATCAAACCAGCATAATACACTGAACTGCAACCAGGAACGTGTGGCACTATGGAATACTTTTACTCTGATATTACAGTCATAAACTTGTGTTTCCATTTGTTGCTACATGCTTAATATTCTAATGCTTTTAATATCAATCTTTATTCACAGATTTCACAGAATTTTCTTCTTTTTCAATGAACATGATAAATGATTTGGCATCAGTGAAGGAGTTTATTACAGTAAGTAAATCTGGTTATATTCTAAAGAACGCTTCTTTGTATGGGATGCTTATCATTGCAAAACTGTTATGCAACTTTTCCTCTTTTTTTCTTTTTCTTTAGGCCAGCTTCTAAGATTTTTCTGTAATTTAGTCTATTTGAAGTCTATTTTCCCTAGTAGTAGCACAGCCACATCTGAATATTAATTCCATATTGGTTTTAAGTGATTACTGAGGTTGTTATTTTGAAGCCATCAGTGTTAGGACATTTTTTCAGTGTTTCCCCCTAAATTTATCTTTTGGAGTTCCATACCACTCATTGCCTGCTCACAGCAGAAAGAGAGGAAATGATTGATTCCTTCTGGAAATCTATAATTTGTGAGTGAAGGCAGCACTTAGGCCAAAGGACTTTCAATGGAAAGGAAAAAGCTTTTGGCACCAAAAGATCAGATGTAGACTACCTAGGACAACAGGTTTTGGTTAGTACCATATCTTGTCAGTGCCAGAAGTAGGCTTCTCATCTGGAACTGAAGCTCCTTGATGCTAGCATAATGCATAAGATACTAATATAATGGATGTCTTGAAAACGGGATGGTAAGATGCAAATGGTGATCAATGCAGAGAAACACAGGGGGGAAAACAACACCAACTATACCTGTACAATATTGGGGTTTAACCCAGAAAAGAGATACTGGAGCCATTGTGAATAGTCCTTTTTAAATGGTAGCCCACCAGTCAGAAAGGTAAACACTTCGGTAGCTGTATAAATCTGTATTGCTATGGCATCTTGAATACTGTATGTGCTTCTCGTCACTCCTTCTCAAATTGAAGAGCTATGGAGACAGAAAATAAAGATGTCCAGATATATGGAAGATCTGCTGCATAAGGAGAGAACTCATCCTGGGGGTTTTTTAGCCTCTGTTGAATCCTTACACAGTAATCTCTTTGCCAGGATAAACAGAGGAAAAGGGGAATAGGGATGCTGTTTCTCACCTCTTAAGGATCACAGAACATCCAGCAAAATGCTCAATTAGCAGATTTAAAGCAAAAAACAAACAGTCCTTTTCATGCATAATAAATAGTGGAACTTCTTGCTGTACTTGATGTTGAGGATAAACTATAATTCAGTTCAGAAAGTGGGTTTGGCAAATTAAAAGTAAGAGCTGTAAATAGCTTTTAGATGCAATAGTCTGGATGAAAACTCTGGTTCAAGAAGTCCCCAAACCAGTGATTACTGAAAGCTCTGAAAACAGTGTAGGAGTAGAATTTACCATTTATCTATTTTACTTGTGACTTTTGCCTAAGCCAGAGTAGATACAGGACTAGATGGACCTTAAGCTCTATCTTTAATAGTAATTATAGAAGAATAGGAACAAATAAAACTTAAGAATTAATTATTTATATTTGGAAACCAGGAGTCATGTATAATGAAATAAAGATTAAATTATACATTATATGTTATTTTAGGAAAAAAATAATTTCAATTCAAACTAAAATTGTAATACTTTACTTTTCAGTCTGTTACCGCAACATTGGGAAACACTGATTTATGGAAGACCTCACATTACTTTAGTCTGCTATTTCCTTCTCAAGGACACCGTAACATTCTTCTTATATCAGATGTATACATTCAGAATGAGAGTGCAACCTTCCAGATTGTGAAAGATAATGTCCAACATACAAGGTTATTTACATGTGGTGTTGGGTAAGTATGAAGCTAGCTAGCAATTGCCTTTGTTTAAAATCATTGATAATTTATTCAAAGTGAGAGGTTAATAAGCTGAGAACTGTCAGATGCCCAAGTGTACTGTCTTAAATATATATTTCTGTTTAGATTAAATGCAGAAAAGTTTTTCTACCTTTAATAATGGACTGGAAATTCTGTAAGGAATTTCAAAGGTAAGATGCCTACAATAATGTCAGTTCCACATCCAGGTAGACTTACCTATTCATATCTATATCTTCATTATAACTATACTATTTAAGAATATAATTGGAAAATACAAGAGTTAATGTTTTGAAACTTTGCATTTAATGTTTTGGTATAGTGTCATTTTAACAGTGCAATTTCAATGAAACAGTAGTTGTATAATTTTATTATTTAATTTTCATTTGTTTTGTAAGGTAATTACTTAAAGACAAAGTAAACACTAGACTTCTCAACAATCAGAGCAACAGGCAAAACCTCACTGAAATTCATTGCACAGTAGTTTATTTTCAGTAACAACAAACTAGAAAGATAAGTACATGACTGAAATGACTTTTTAAAAAAAAAACCAACTGGCTTATAGTTACATAATTCAGGTTGTGAGACATAAATGGGAAAGGGTCAGGGAGGTGTTAGGTTCTTACCATGTCCTGGGAGTGCTGGCAAGGATACATCAAAATAAAGACCAGTGGTGAGGGCCATGTTCTTCTAGGACTGTTTTTTTTTTAATTACACCTTCACCAGAGCTCCTGCAACATTCCCCAGACCTCATTGCTCTAGGGCTTCTCCCAGAACTGGGCAAGCACACCCTTCAGGCCACCCACCAGACATCCCAGTGCTCTTCCAGGGTAATCATATGTTATGACTGTAATAGAATTTTCATCAACACACAATAAGGAACAGATGGTATGTGCCCATTAGAAGCACACCGACACCATTTTCAACATATTTACATTCTTATCATAGAATCATAGAATCATTTACATTCTTGTTGTGTTCGTGTTCAGCATATTTACATTCACTGATTATTGGTTATGGATATGATGGAATTAGGCCTGGCGATGGATTACCTCAGTGCTGGTAGTGTGAGAGGGCATGGCTTTTAATGGTTCCTCTAGACCACTAATGTTAACGTGCTAATGTGCAACAATCTGCTTTCAGTAGGCAAGATCTGTATTTAACATGTTACACTGGTAAAGTAATAATGGTGAAGAGGTGTAAAAGAGCTCTGGTTCATACTCTTGTGTAGACACAGTGTCTTCTAGAAGGCTGAATTAATAGACAATACTACATCTGTTTTATCTGTGATAATCCTCTGTAGCAAAATGAAATAAAATACTTCTAAATAGTGCAAGATTTGTACTTTACAGAGTTGTACGAGGCAGCAAAATCTATAAAAAGGCTTTTAAAAGTGCACTAAACTTTAAACCCAAGATGTTATGTGTTCTTAGCATAGATGCAATTGTACTATTTAATTTTGCCTTGAGGGATTTTGGTGAGGATTCGCTAGGTCATTAAGACAGTGGTCCTGTTGAGGAACAAGTCTATTTTCTGTCTGACAAAGATTTGAGACATACTGTGCTGTTTCTTGCCCCAAAGAATTCTCAGCTGCTTAATTGTTCTCCTTTAGTCCTCTATAAATCTCTCATTTGTATATATACCTATGAAATAGCTTCACAGGAGTCAGACTGTTGGTAAGCAGAGCCTGCTGCTCTATCAGGCTACTAAGCATTACCATATTGGTTATATCCATATTGTTCAGACAGTAACATTCCCTAGCTGACACTGGATTTAGCGGTAAGATAGCTGTGTACACACCAAATAACTCTGCTGAGACTGAGGTTAATTAGTTCAAGATCGGGATCATCTTGATACAGTCTTATTGGTGTTTGAACCTAAGTTAATTTCTCTGCACAGCTGTGCACTGTGACATGTGGGAACTCATGTACCATGTAATTTCCTTGAATGTTGTTAGGAAATCTCTAATACAACATCACATTCATTAGCTCAGTTGCTTTCAGTTGATCTGCCCCCTGAAAAAGGGATAGAATTAAAAAAAATCATATTCATAAAGCTTGCAGTACTAATTAAAACCAAAATGTTTGGAAATAGTATCAGATGGACAGTTTAATTCAATAATTACATAAAGAATTATTTTTGTTAGTTCCACAGCAAATCGGCACATACTGAGATCTTTGTCCCAATACGGTGCTGGAGCATTTGAATACTCTGACTCAAAATCAAAGTATAACTGGGAGGCAAAGGTACATTTATAAATCTTGACTATATTGGGTATGTGGTCATTGTCTGATATATCAATATCTGATACTGCGTATCTTCACTATCTCAAAACGGGAATTACTACTTTTCATGGGATCATGTGACTTTGCTATTACTGTAAGATAGTTCAAGAAACATTTGATAGAAGGTGGAAGGAAAGATGCCTTCCTTTATTTTAAATATAAATTGATACTAAGTGAGAAAGAGAAGTATTTAGTTTGAATTTTACAAAGGTGC